AAAAAAAAAAAAAAAAAAAAAATGCCGAAAGTCAAATAAAAAATTACCAGCTTTAATTTAAGATTAAACTTAAATTTAAGATTCTCGCATTTCACTTCAAATGCCAAAACGTTTTTCGACCGAATTTTCCTACCAGTATATTAATCTTTAAAATAACATAATGTTTGAAAAAATTAATTTTTTCTCTTCAAACTTCGTTAACTTTGTTGGCGCAAGGCTTTCGAAACAGCTTCAGTTTCGTTTCTCACGAACACAGCAACTTGGCTATTCGTTAATTATTTTTTTAAAGTTAGAAGTGTAGTAGGTATTTATTCTATTATCATTACGTACGCCGTCGGTACGTATCCTTCGTCCGTGCCGTTGGTGACTTTGGTCCATCCACTACCGTCGTTGTCAGCTTCGGTGACGATTAGCTCTTCATTTTCATGTACGGGGAGCTCTCCATCATTAGTACCTGGAAGTAATGACAATGAAATTTGAATAAATTATCCTAGATATTCTTAGATTCGATAATTTTAGTTTCCCTTGAGTTGACCGTCATTTCCGGTCTCGTGCGGAATGTTCGTCAGCTGAATCGTGAGTTTTGAATAGAATCGTTTCTCATAATGAGATTCATGGGCTCTTATCAGCTGTTTGAAAGCCAGCAATACTCTTTTTTACAGTTCCATTCAGTGACCACAAATAATAATTCCTAGCTAAGGCTGGAGTTTCCGCGCATTGTAAAACTACAGTTGATCATGCGCGGTAACTCCAGCCTCGGTTAGGAACACTTCCGGTTGACGTCGACGTCGCAGATTTTGCAAATTTTAAAGTCCCTAATAACACGAGAAGCCAGCCTTCTTCACACCACCACATCATCTGAAACAAGAAGCCTTTCCGAGGTTAAGGAAAAAACTGGTCGAGTTGGCTTTCCAGTGCATTGTGGGACTATTTTAGGAGACATATTTCCAAGATGGCGTCTATTTAGTCCCCTAAACGATCCCACAACGCACTGCAATATCAACTCGACCCAGTTTGGGAATGGCTAATGGCATTCTAACAACTACAATCATTCTATTACCTTCAAAGTCATACAACACTCTACACCTCTCCCCGTCATCAAATTCGTTATCTTCTTCAGGTTCTTCGACAGGGGGAACCAATATACTAGGTGCTGGAGGTGGGAGTTGATCTGATGGGGCTGGCGGAGGCTGCACATTTGAGGGCTTCGAATAGCACGGTGGAGGAGCAGGAGCAGGTGTTTGTTCTATTATGGCTAAGTACGACTGATACTTGAACAATTCCTGACTATATTTATCCAGTTCTTTGGCATTTCCTTTAAGCTCTTCCTCCATGGATGCTGGATCACCGAGAGAAGGGTTCTGAAGGTACACGCCTGTCATCTTTTCCATGGCTTCCCTAACAGAAACACAAAGAAAGATGAGAAAGTTCTTCCTGCTTAAGTCTAATACTAATATTGATTGGACAAAAGGAGATGCAATCTGTAGTATTAGAACCTGGCTGCTGCTGATGATAATAATAATAATGATAATAAGATGATGATGATCATGATAATAAAGATAATAATAATGATAATGATAATAAGATGATGATGATGATGATGATAATGATAATAAGATGATGATGACGATAATGATAATAATAAGATGATGACGATGATGATAATGATAATAAGATGATGATAAGATGATAATAATAATAATAAGATGATGATGATGATAATAATAATATGACGATGATGACGATAAAGATGATATAATGACAATGACAATAATAAAGATATCCTGACAATGATAATGATGAAGATAATGATGATGATGATGATGATGACGATGATAATGATAGGTCCTTATGAAAGAAAGTATTGTAGTTTACACTACCTTGCAGACTTCAACTGTTGAACCTGAGGATCTAAACTTTTGATTTTGTTCTTACAAATTCTAGCTTGCTCGCCTGGTGACAGAGTGTTGAAATCATTGCCATCCTCAGTGTCAGACTAAAAGAGGATGAACCAATTAGTTATGGAATGTTATCAGGTATTACCACACTTATCTGTCTTCAAAGGTTATCAGTAAGAGTTCTTAGTCACTGAACTAGTTAGTCAATTGTTTATTCCATCTGTATGTCATGATTGTAAGTCCATGAGTTGGTCGGTCAGTCAACCGGTTGGTCGGTCAGTCGGTCATTAAGTCATTCGGTCGGTCGGTCAGTCAGTCAGTCAGTCAGTCAGTCAGTCAGTCAGTCAGTCAGCCAGTCAGTAAGTCAGTCAGTTGCTTGATCAGTCAGTCAGTCGGTCGGTCGGTCAGACAGTTGGTCAGTCGGTCAGTCAGTCGGACAGTCGGCCAGCTAGCCAGTCAGTCAGTTGGTTGATCGGTCAGTCAATCAGTCACTCAGTTGGTCAGTTAGTCACCAAACAATAATAGGCCCTTTGCAGCTCAGTAATCACATGCTTATTGATTCACTGAGAGCAAATGAATGAACGTTTTGATTCCCATGGGTGAATTTTACTTGAGAGCAAACACACTTTCTACGGCCTTTTTCGAGAGATCGTAATAAGACTGCATTTCGTAACACACTGGTTGAACATCATTTCATCCAGTTCTTTACAAGTAGCTAAAAAGAATCACCAATTTAAAATATAAACAAAAAATTTTGCTCTTCAGTACAGACACGTCACCATTAGCTGCAGAGGGCCTATTACCAAACTAATGACTTCAAAATTAAAATCTATACAAATAAATGAAACACACCTTTTTAGATTTGCTAAACAGTGATTTTGATTTAATTTTCAATTTCTTTTTCTTTTCTTTAGGGTGTGGAGTTTGAGGAGTGCTTTTTCCATATTCTTCAAACACTATGTCCCCAGGTGGCTTGAGGGCTGTACGGTGTTCTTCAATCAGTTTTTGTGAGTCCTGGCACAAAACAGGTAATAGAATACTGATTATAATAGTGTATCTAGAATTTCATCATCCACAGGGTTTAAAGTGCTACTTTGACAAAAATCGCTCAAACTTGGATGCAGCTGAAACTTCCTAAGAATACTCTTTAAAGGTCCAATAATCACTGTATGATGTGTTTTCTCGATATTCAGGACGAAAGTATATTTTTAGGATTATTTTTAGGAGTCTGTGACGTCATACACTCAACATCGAACATCACTCCATACATTTCTTTGTAGTTTATGATCAAAATATCAGTAGTTAAGGGAGAAAGAAATACCCAAACACCCCAAAATATGAAATTATAGTCACAAGTAATGTGAAATAAGCACATTAGCCACCCTTTGGGCTTCATAGGAATAAAATAAATTAAGGATATACTGAGTAACACATCAGGCCTCCCCTCAAAACAGAGTCCCGTACAATGACACTAATTACTCTTAACCATATTCCTTAAAGTCTGATATACATGTACCTTGGGTCCATCAACTGATGCTGCATTTGATTTCATGTTGTTTAGACATGTTTGTATAATGGACATAACTGAACAATGGATATCTGAATATTCTGTCAGTAATGATCCTATTTTAGCTATTCTGTTTTCCTCCATACTTTGCAATTGCTGTTGGAAAAAGAAAGAAAAGCATTAACACAATTGATCAACGGTATTCTTGTATGTAGGATGCATGAGCATTCGACGACGTTGACCATTATCAGGGCTTTAACTTGAACAACTTACAACCGCATGGGTTAACTATTTGTTAATGAGATAGAAAATAAACTACCCAATATCTGTACGAGCAATGGAGATCTGCAAATAAATTATTGTTCTTTTAACTTCCGGGCATTCAGTTTAACTTCCTTCCTTCCCTAACTCATTTCTTTCTCAGTTTTCTAAATGCATGTACCAAGGGCTGATCCAGCCAAAATTTTAGGGGGGG